GGTTTTATTGCTGTCATTTTAAATCAGAGATTTTACTGCCACTTCTTGGCATAGCAGCTTGGTCCAGCATATTTATCGGTTAATAAGATCCCTTATATTGAACATGGTGGCGGATCGAATCTCCTGGTGGTCTCGTGATTGTTTATTAAACCACTGACAGTAATGTGCTTGAACCGTGGAGCCCTACCAGTTACATATTGTGGCAGGAAGCATGATACTTTTGTCCCCCCCAACATGGCTGTTTTGAGGTTCACGTGCTAAACAATATTTCTGTTGAGAGTGATCTATGGGGGGAGAGAAAGGGACTGTGTTCTTTTGGAGGCAGGTGGTTTGAAGAAGAGAGAGCTCCTCGCACAGTGAACGCAACCAGTATTCTGAACACCTTTCATGGTGCTTCGATTTCATTAATTGTGAAAATTAGACTTCTTTTTAATTCAGCCAAATACTAATTACTTATGAATGTTTGATTTGCCTCTTCACAGCTGGAGGGGACTTCTCTGGTGCCTCAGCCACCTGCCTCACTCTCCCAGTAGAGTTTGCGAGGCTAAGTCCTATTTTCCGTCCCCATCCACACTGACTTTTGTTCTCAGCACAGATTTGCACAAGTTAGGGTAAGCGTCCTGCTGATAGAGGCCTCTCCAGGTACAGCGTCTGAAGATAGCTTTGAAATATGCAGAATGATAATAGCGGTGACAGTTGGTATTATGTCTTAAGTGTGCTTTCCTGCATTACTTCATTCAATGCTCATAACAGCCCTTCAAGGGAGATGTTATTTTGGCCATCCCTATTTAATAGACAAGGAAAAGAAGCTTAAAGACCTTAAAGTCACACAGTTAGTGTTTCAGGTATTCTGACCCTGGAGCCCATGGTCCTCACGCTACGCAAATCTGCCCCAAAACATCACTTCCATGGATTTTTCTGTCTACTTATGGGTTTGGGAGTGGATAAGTCCCAGGCATTCTTTATTTTTTAAAAAAATTAATAGCATACTAATTAGTATGAATTTCAAAGATGTTATGGTAGAATGAATTCATATTTTATGTTCAATTTAAGACAAGGAGAATTCCTTCACTCTTTCAGCGTGTATTAATTACATATACTGACCCACAAAAGGAGACGAGATAGTCATATATAGATTACATCACACCAACTTGTTGACAAAATGCCCTGTTGATCTTGAGCACCCACTGATGAAGCGATTAGCAATCATGAGCTACATATATGATCTCTACTGCGTAACATGCTGTGCAAGACATATTGGTTCTCTTTGGTTCAACTTTTCAGGAGTTTTTTCTGTATTAATGTCTTTGCTAAATTCCTACTTCGCTATTTTCGTTGATAATTTCTTAAGATCCGAGGCTTTTCTTTTTGTAGATGAGTGGAAAATTGTATGGGCACCAAGCATTTAATCAAATGATTCTTTTCTTACTTGGCATAGTTCTTGAAGTTAATTCGAGTTGCTCCATAGCCTCCAGCACAGCTTCTGAATACCCACCACAAAAGGTGGTGTTTGGGAACTGGAAGCAGTTGAATGTCATCTTGCTAGACAAGTTAGGTCATGGGTAGTCCTGTTTGTAGTCTCAAATCCCAAACGATCAAATGGGAAGCAAAACAAAACACAAGGGGTATTACCAAGTGAATAAGGCTGGTTTTCTCAGAAATGTGCATTTCAGCGGATAAATGATTTATTCATGACTTGATCATGTAAGCAACCCCACTATTGTGATAAGCAGAGTCTCCCCCATAGAAATTACTTTTAAAGATACTTTTTTTGCATATACGTCTTCATTTGCTTTAAAAGATCTATTTAATCATTTGTTATAAGTATCCCTTTTGCTTCTATTCATTATTTGAATGGTCTTTCTTTGCTGTTAAAATGAAGAATAAATACTTGAAATTCAGAGGGTAGCAGTGATAAACTTACAGAAATAGGCTGTCTTCTAGACCTTAATTGTGAATGGGAAGTGGCCTGTTCTGAAGAACGAGTTGACACGTTGTATCGTTCCAGTAAGCCTGAGCCCTGTTACACCTGCGAACATCGCCTGTGTCTGAGTTGGAACGGCATCTAAGGATACATTCAGGTCATTCAAGTGTGAAAAAGACTCACATACTAAATATGAGGCTTCTTTTTGTTGGAAGAAAAGAGGAGTTTAAAAATAATGAGAAAGCTTTAGTTATACTATAATATCTTATAGGATTAATAACTTGTTTTAAATAATATTAAACCCTAGAACTTTGATTTTACTTCTGGTGTAGAAAGCTATGAAAAAATATTGTTCCCACTTTCATCATGAGAAAAAAGATGGATAACTTATGCTATCATACTTTTTTTTTTCAAATTCATCAGAAACCTGAGGTCTGCCTGTAGGCAGTCAGCTGGTATAAATTCCAAGGAGAGAAAGGACACATCATTCTTTGTTTTTGTCTTTGGCGGAGCCCATGCTGGAGGGTTAGTAGCCATCAAAGAAGATATAAAGAAAACAACTAAATTTTTTGTAAATCTTTAAAAGCTATTTAGAATGAGCTAGCATAATTTCACGTTTCCAGGAGCCCCAGGCATAAAGAGGACCTGTATCTACTTACCACTTTTTACTCCACCAGATACGCAGGGGAAAGACTGGGGATGGGGCAGGAAACCAGAGAGCCCCCCAGTGGTGCCGGCATGTGGGTGCTGGTCAATGTCCCTGGGAGACAGACACAGAGTCCCCAGTGTCCCAGCAGCCCTGTCACAGGACACAAACGCTGTCTCATAGGCAGGGGATGGGCAGGAAAGCCGACCACACACTTAGATCCAGGCGAAGATTGGCAGTCTTTGGGATAAGGATAATATAATCTTCCAGCCCTGCACTGAGGTGAGATCAGTCCTACTGGCACCAAGGGAGGGGTGGGAAATTCACTCGTGCTCGGAATTTGAACTGATGTTAAATCGAGCTCTGCCACAGCTGAAGAGGATCAGGCCCGGACCCAGGACACGGCGACAATGCTGGGTAGTGACTGGCTGCTCCTCGTGGGTGGAAGAGGCGGGAATGCTGAGAAAGCCTCGTCTCTGAAGCTCACGTTCACAAGGTCTGTCCGTGACCGAGGCTGCAGCAGGAGAATAAAGCAAACACATTTTGACCCCACCGTGAGACCTGCATGGAGTCACAAGCCTGAATCTGGGGAAAGAACATGGGGATAGAGGCCCTCTGTTGTGTAAGTGTGGAGCAGGAACACTAAGAAAAACCCTCTGTCATTGAGAGATACAAGCTTCCAGTTATAAAATGAGTCAGAGAGACATAGTGCACAGGGAATATGGGCATTACTAACACAGTAACTTTGTATAGTGACAGGTGACTTACCAGGCTTATCACTTTGTAAGGTATATAAATGTCTAATTACTATGTTGTACTACCTGAAACAGATATAATAATATTGTACATCAACTAAATTTTATAAGTTCAAAAAAACCCCTAAAACTCACACCCATTTGTCACTCAGACGTCACAGTAAACACAAGATGCCTGGAATCTACCACTGGAGGACATCATAGCGCTTGTTGCACTGAAGGTTACCATGGCAACAACAAAACACAAACCCACCTCAGCAGCTTTCAGATGGACTCAGCTACGCACAATAGTAGCCTGACAACAGAAGAGATACTCCCATTGCAGAAGTAAATGTCAGTGACCTCAGTCTCAGCTGTTCTTCAGATACAATGTTTTGCATTTAATAAAAAAATTATAAAATATACCCCCCCCCAAAAAAGGGAAAAGGTATTGTCTATCAAGAGAAAAAACGGTCACTAGAACTAAACCCAAGAATGGCCAGGATGTTGCAACTGTCAGGTAAGAGCATTAAAAATGGCTATTAATTATAAAATATATACCATCCTGCTGTAAGCTGTTAATAATAGGGGAAACTGGGTATGGGTTTACATGGGAACTCATAGTACTGTCTTTTTAATTTTTCTGTAAATCTAAAACTGCTCTAAAAATAGATTATTAAATACTACATTTTTAAGGAATGTGTTTAAAATATATTGTTAAGGGTATAAAAGTTCAAGCTAGAGACTGGGAGAAAGAATTTGCAGAGTGCCTATCTGATAAAGGACTGGTAACTGGAATATATAAAGAACTCTTACAAGTCACTAATAAAAAGAAAATCATTTCAACAGGAAATGAACAGACATCTATACCTTCACTGAAGAAGATATATGGATGGCAGTTATGCACATGCAAAGATATTCAACATCGTTAGTCATTAGATAAATGCAAATTCAAACCACAAGGAGACACCATTAGTATGGCTGGCATTAAAAAGCCTGTCAAACCAAGTGCAGTTAAGAATATAAAGTAAGTAGAACTCATACATTTCTGATGAGGAAGCAGGATGGTTCAGTCACTTTGTAAAAACAGTTTGCCACTTTCTTATAAAGGTGGACAGAAGCAGCCCTGGCTGGTGTGGCTCAGTTGGTTGGAGCACTGTCCTGTAGTCGGAGCATTGTGGGTTTGATTCCTGGTCAGGGCACATACTTAGGTGGCCGGTCAGATCCCCAGTCCAGATATGTACAGAAGGCAGCCGACTGATGTTTCTCTTTCTCCCTTCCTCCCTGCCTTTCTCTCTCTCTAAAAGCAATGAAAAAAATTTTTCCCTCGGTGAAGATAAAAAAATTTTTAAAGGTGAACAGACATTTACCATAACTTACCACATAACCAAGAGATCCACTCACAGCTCTCTACCCAAGAGACCTTAAACACACGTCCATCCAGTGACCCGTATATGAATACACATGGACGCTTTACTTAAAACTTGAAGTAACCCAAATCTCCATCAGCTTGTGCATGGATAAACAGATTGTCATATATTCTTAATATGAAATGCTACTGAGCAAGAAAACAAATTACCGATACTTGCAATAACATGGATAAACCCCAAAAGCATGCAAAATGAAAGAAGTCAGACACAGAAGACCACATAGTGGATGCCTTCATTTCTGTGATATTCTGGAAAAGGCAGAACCAGTGCTCACTTTGGCAGCATATATTCTCAAATCGGAACCGTAGGGAGAAGATCGTTGTGGCCCCTGCGCAAGCGTGACATGCAAATTCGTGAAGCGCTCCATGTTTTATGTCGATTCACACTGTTCCGTGTAAAGGTGCTGCTGAGAGACACAGCAGAGTCACCCTAGTATCTTTTCATTTTTACTTGAAACTTTGAATCCTCTCTAAAGACTCTAGCAGGAAAACTTTGTAGTTTTTAAATAATCGCTGAATATAAAGTGTTTGAAAACTTTAATTTTTTTGTATGCAGACTGAAAATATGAAATACGAGGGAGGCAGAATACAACAAGTCCAAACTAATTTTTTTGTAGATTACCATTACATTTCTTCAAACTTTTGATACCAATATGTCCTCTACAAAAGAGAGTGGTTTCATAAATTAAAGGTAGTTGATTTAAGGGTAGTTGCTGATGTTATACATTTTTTAATAAAAAATAAAATATAATAAATTTTACATAGTGAAACTCACTGGGCTTTACACATAAGAAGGGTAAATTATTGTATACAAATTATACCTCCACAAATTTGTCAAAAATGGTATTCAACTCTATAAGAACATGTGGTAGTTTCTCAGAAAATGATTTAAAGTATAATTTAAAAACATTTGGCCATTTCTGTCTATAATAATGCTCTCTGAGGGACCTTGAACCAATGACTTTACTTCTGGGGGCCTTAGTGTCCTGAACTATAAAATGGGATAGGAATCATACATATCTTATGTGATATTTTTTAGGATCACTTAACTAACTAAAATACAGAAAGAGTTTAGAAAAATCCCCAGAACATGGTAAGTACTCCAATAATGTAGTCTTGACAGTGTGTTGTGTTAGCTTCTACATACACTAAAGGACTAAGGTGTAAGATCTCCAGCTATCATTGATGTCCTAACGCGAGAATTGACATTCACTTACTCTTTTACTTCAGAACTGATGTTTGATTATGCTATTGCATAGGTGCATTTCTGCATTTATTCAAAATATTTTTGTTGGCCACTCTCTATGTCAGACAGTGTGTTAGGTGGTGGAATTACCCTGAAGGATGAGACTCAGTCTGTGCCCTCAAAAAACTACCTTGAACACAGACCAGTTTGGGGGACTCCAGTGCATTCATTGTGGTAAGTACGATTAGGTGAGGGAGCTTCTTACAGGAATCTGTGGAATAGGCATCTAATCTGAGGGCCAGGAAGATTTCGAGGAGGTGATGATATATATGGCTGGTCCTTGAAGGGTGTGTGTTGGAGGCCAGCCGGTCATCAATTTTGCCTTTTTGAAACTTTTGGCAAAGCCTGTGGGACATTACTACAAAAGGAAAAAAAAAGAACTTGATCCGCATGAATAGTATATGATCTTTTAATAAGCTCAGTTGATATCCAGAGTATAGGTAGCTGGAACTTTAAGGGATAGGTGTCTAACTTTTCCCCATTTTTGACTTGGCACTGTTTTTAGTCTCAGTGGATTGGTCAAGCTTGAACCACACCATCAACATCCTAAAGAGAGCAGTTCAGATGTTTATTTTTCTAGTGCTTTAATCTTTATGGTATTTTTTTCATTACCATTTAGTCCCCTTTTACCCCTCCCCCCCACAGTCACCACACTCTGGTCCACGTCCATGAGTCCTGTTTCCTTTTTGCTCAGTCCCTCTGCACCCTAATCGCTGCTGTACCACTCACTACCTGTCATCCTGCTCACCATCTACCCGTCTGCATCTGTTTCGCTTGTTAGTTCAGTTTGTTCATTAGATTCCACCTATGAGTGAATCATACGGTATTTGTCTTTCTCTGCTTGGCTTATTTCACTTAGTAGAATGTTCTGCAGGTCCCTCCATACTGTTATAAAGCATAAAATTTCGTTTTGGTATATGGGATGGCTCTCCAACCAACTGAGCCACCCAGCCAGAGCTGTTTGGATTTTTAATTGTGGTGTGAGCCGTGGTGATTGGTTACTTGAGGCAAAAATCAGTTGGCACCTATGTCACAAAGTTTGGTGAAGAGAGAATCATCTGCCAGCCTCCGTTAGAGAAGCACCAGTGACTGTCGATATTCCTGGCTGTGCCTGACAAATCCTGCTTCTTCAGCAGTCTCCGTCTGTTGATATACATCCCAACAGGTACAAAAACACACTGTGAGAGCTAGCATGCCTTCTGCAAAGCTAGGTGGTTTCAGGATGGTGATGAGAGATCAGTCTGTATACATTGAGCAGATACAGGTACAGCCTCTGGCCGTTATTCTTGGACACGCCCCAGAGACCACACCTGGCCTTTGGGCATTTTGTTAATGGCACCTACACACCACTCTCTTCAGATGGCCTGCTAAAAATGAGTTCCCGTGGCAGAGGTCACTGATGACAAAATGGGCTTCTTGGCATTCAGCTAAAAAGCACAAACAATTGCCCAGAGAATGGAGAACAGTGTTTTGCAGGAAAAAATATTTTAAACCTAGTAATTTTTAGGCTTAGATTTGGTGAGTTTCATATTTTAGTTTAGTTCTGCCCCATAGCATATTACTGATTATTATTAATTAATAGTGTTAATTATATTCAGCCAGTATTTATTGAGCACCAAGAACATGCAAAGCAATGTTAGGTGTTAAGTGGGGAGTTCAGAGGTAACTAAGGTATAAACTGTGCCTGAAGGGCATTTCCCATCTGGAGGAAAATCTTTGTGTCTATGTCCAGGTCTATGGCTGTCTCTACTTGTGTCTGTGTCAGTCCCCTGAGCATATGGGTGTGCACTTGACCTTTGTCTCTGTATCTGTGTGTACCTGAGCACGTGCCTGTGCACACACACACAAATACATCCACAAGTTCATACATAATACATATTTAGAAGTAAGTATAACATTTTCAGTATGATCTGAATACCAAAATGAAGGATAAACCGAGTTCTATGGGAGCACCGCAGAGAGGCTGTTCATTTTGACTGGGGCTTTGGAGGCTCTTTGGAGAGGAACTGGCACGGATGGGAAAGGTAGGCGAGATTTCACTCTGCAAAGCCACACTGTGGACTAGGAGCTGGAAACTGAGGGCGCTAGACTGTGAGTTCTACAGGGGTCTTGTCCATGTTACAGACTTTAGTATATTCAGTGCCTTGCTGCAAATCTTCGTTGAATGAATGAATGCGTGCATCGAAGAGCAGAACAAAATCTCAGCATACAGAAGGTGCCAGGAAAGGACTGACGAGTGGCCCATGGCGGGTGGTGTAGGGTGGAGGCCAGCAATTCTATGGTGTGGGATGCAGCTCAGGATCGGGCTGGGCTGTCAAGGAACTTGCCTGCTGAGGTAAGTACGATGTAAATTCGTAAACTGCTGAGGAGTTTAGAATTTATTCAGCCCGCTGGAACCTGTCAGATATATTTGACCTGGCGAGTTACCTACACCTGTTTATTTTACAACACTCCTCATACTTTTTACCATATTTTCATTTCTTTTTCATTCTCCCCTCAGGAAGTCTTAATCTTTTTATCTATAGGCACCCCATTTATTTTGTGACCCCTTACCCTTTACCTTCTGAGCTTTGGTTTAAAAAACTTTGTGTGCTACTTTGCTCCTATGGTGATCCACTTATTTGTCTATTTTTAGGGTCAGAAGCATAGAACTCATGCATGGGGCAACCCTGAAAGGATTAAACGTGGACTTCATCACTGCCTGTTTTAGTTTACTAGAGCCACCATAACAAAATACCACCGTCTGCGTGTCTTAGACAACACACATCTATCCTCTAACATTTCTGGAGGCTAGGTAGAAGTCCAAGGTCAAAGTGCAGACAGGTTCAACTTCTTCCAGAGCATCTCTCATTGCTTTGCAGGTGACCATCTTCTCGCTGTGTCCTCACATGGTCACCCTGCAGTCCGTGTGTTGTCCGTGCTCCAATCTCCTAAGTTCCCTTTCTTACAAAGGCGTTTGTCAGCATTTAGGACCCATCCATATGCCCTTATTTTTTCCATAATTACCTCTCTAAAGGCCCTGTCTTTAATGCAGTCCCATTCCGAGATACCAGAGGGTAGCATTTCAACCTAGTCATTTTAAAGGGGGACACAATTCATCCCGCAGCACCGACCTGAGGAGCTTTCTCTGTTCTCTACCACCTGGCACGGAGTCATGCTGGGGTCTAAGTCAGTCCAGGTCACATACGGTGGGAATCTGAACTTGAATCTAATGGCTCAGAAGCTGATGGGACTAGATTGTTGCCCAGGAAAAGTGATTCCTTCTGAAGAGCTCGATGTGTAGTATCCAGGAGCTGTGCTGCTCCCATCATTTTAAGTAAGTTTGGAAACCAGGACCCTAAATCCATAGCATCATTGCTATGGATTAGCAACGATGAATAACAAACAAAACAAATGCTGAACAGTACAGTTAATGGGATCCCAGGCCCTCGAGTCAGATGCACCGGCCCCATCACTTCTGATCTGTACGGCCTCAGGCTTAACCTTTCTCTGCCACTCTTTCCTTATCTGTACCTGGAGGATCGTGTGGTTTCCTGCCCCATGAAATTGTTCTGAGGGCTAAATGAGGAAAATGTGTATCAAGCACAGTATAGTCCTTGATATGTAGTAAGCACTCGGTAAGTTCACTAATCTAATATGTATTCAGTGTTAGCTATTATTAAAGATGAAAATGATAGATCTATTCACAGGCATGTTAGCAATAGAACTATTAGCAAAATGTTAGCTTTTGCAGCCATGTTTACGCAGACCAAAGAAGTGAATTTTCTTAAGATGGCAATCATATGTTTCAAAATGTTGTAAAAACATCATAAGTATTGTTTTGTGACCTTGTCAAATAAAATGGACCACTTATTTCTGTGCTAAACTATTATAATATCTTTTTCGTGGCCTTTTTCCAATAGTTTGATGAATGCCAATTTAAGTGCAACTTGGGTGGATTTATCTTCTGGAATCGAACATTTGGTTCTGTTACTAGTATAAACTTTAAGCCTCTCGCTTATGATGTACACACACAAATAAGTGATTTCCTTATGCTGTTAAGATACGCAGAAACATGGAATGTCATTGTTGCTTCATTGTACGTAACGTCACAGGAAGCCCTCCAGGAGCCTTACATAAAGTAGGGTA